CCTGTTTCTTCTCATAATAAAGTGACCATTTCCTGTTTTATCCTCCCACCTCCCTTTCATGCCACATTTCAATCATTCCTCTGATTTTTGGGGACAATGGCAAATGTGGTGCATTCTCAGCAGTGCCTCTGTCAACGTAGCACAATCTTTATGTAAATGTATTCAGGTGCATTCTCAACCCCTTAGACCATCATCTCTGCTGGGTGGTGGTGGTGGAGGCTGTTCAGTCACATTTTCTTCTGAAAAATGCACAACATGGCTGGTGAAGCACACAGTGAGGTGGACCCCTGCCCACATGCCTGAGAAACTCCTATTAAACCTTATGTTTATATTGGAGTTGTGATTTACAAATGTGCGTTTTCTTCCCTTTAGGCACATTCACCCCCATGTCGCTGTGCTTTTTCATCAGGCGCACAGCAGACAGCAATAGAAAAGCAAGGACAGGGTCCTTGCTGCATGTGCACACCAAGATGGGAAGGGGAGGGGAGAGGAGAGGGAGAGTGAGAAGAGGTGCTGTGTATGCACATTTTCATCTTAGAGGGTGCTCTTCTGTGGAGCCCAGTGCTGTGCTCATATTGAGATATGTGCGCAGTGACACAATTATACACATACACACACACACAGTTCCTTTGTATACAGCTGTGTGCCTCAGTTCTGGTTCATTTCTAATGTTGTGAACTCAACTCTCAGCAAGTTCATTGCTATTCATTTCACTGTCATCCCGAACTCCTCCTGAGACTGACTTAAGTTTCCAGCCCAGGTTTCTCAAGCAGGACTGTGTTTGTCACACACATACATATACTCACACAAACCTATTGCTTCAGCAGCAGGATCTCTGTATCCTCTTGGTGAACATGTGTGCTGAGAACACAGGGAGATGATGCAGTTTCAATGGCCTGGTTCAGCTGCAAGCAACTACTTCAAAGTTCAGTTCAGATGATTAGCTACAGTGAGAACAGAGCCACAGGCCTCACCTTTATTGGCCTTTATGTTACACACAAGGAGATTGTTTCCGGTGCAGAACCAATGGCAGCCATCTGCGGCGCCAACTCAACCAATGGCTCTAACCATCGGGGATACTTCAACATGTGGACTGCAGGCACCAAGATTCAACCTTCCAGTTGGGAGACGACTGCTCTATCCACGGCACTGTCGCCTCCCTCAAAATCATGATCATTTCATATGATATAAAACCAAATAAAAAAATTATACCTCACTCAAACTTTTCTTTGCCCCTCGCTGCCATGACTTTGAAGTTTTCTTACATCCCTTAAAAGCAAAAAACAACCTCCTCATTCTTCTTTTTTCTGCTGCCCTTTACTATCTCATCTGTCTTTTTTCACTTTCTCCTTCTGGCACAAGCAAACCAGGGGCTGCAGTTTGTTTAGCTGAGTCCATAAAGAGGCATTTTAAAAAGCTGTGTTAACAGACCAACAAAGCTTAAATGTGCCCCCTCTAGTGAGGGGGTGGTTCCCATAGGGATGTAGCATGGCACTCCATTGGTAGGCCTCTATCCAGCCTCTCATTCAGTCAACGCTCAGTCACGGTCACTTAATGGTAGGAGGAAAAATCACACCATTCAGCACAGGCCTGATCCAATGACATGTTTTTTTT